ACATAGTTGTGCAATTAGAAATAAGCTATGATCAGAGTTTATTTTATGATGACACGATCGAGCATTTTGTCACGTCTGTGGTTACAAGAGGTTACTCAAATCATATCAATCGATGCCGTTATCCTATACATATGAACGGGAGTAAATCAAATCGATGAAAGATATCTTTGATGTGTCATCCATTTTGAATCTCATTCGGTGGCAAATTTTCCCAAACGAATTGTATCTATTTTAATATTTTTAGGTCTCATTAAGTGAAAAATTTGTAAACATATAGGCCGATCCTTGAGTTTAGTCCCATATAAAGATTCTGATCCATTGTAGGTATTTTAATGGTCCTAGGTAAATCTTCCTATATGCACTTCCATTTATGTTGAAACCTTGAGTATAAATGTTTTTTTGCGAAGAAGTTATTAAAGAGAGAATTTTTGAAGATCAGTGACGGGATCAAAAACTATATTTAGATTTAATATTTTTAATATTTTACATTAACTTGAAATATGGAGCATCAATTAAAAAGAATCCTAAACGCAACCTGTTCAAAATACAGTAAAATCTCGCTAATCCTGACGAAAGATTGCAGACCCCAATCCGGATTGCTAAATTTTCCGGATTATTAAGGGTTTTAATTTGTTTTCAATTTACATGAGTTTAGTGATATTTTAAATAGTTCTATATGTTAAATCACCAATATGCAAAAATATGAACTTTTAATATAATTGGTACCATTTTCACTAAAATTTGGAACGATTTTAATAAAACAAAACGCATATAAAATTAATGTATCTTTACAATCCCGATTATAGAATACGCAATTGTGAAATGCAGACCGGGTTACGGGATATGTATGTCAAATGAACACAGCGGCTTGTTGCATTTCTATTTATATATTCTGACATAACAAGTCTCAAGGAAGAGTTTTATTTTTTCTTTGTTGTCAAAAGATACCTTTACGAGGGCAGTTCGGAAAGTTCTTAGCCTAGCACAAAAAACGCTCTATTGACAGAAAACCAAAAACTATACCGGCAAGTTTCTTACGCTATGGGGAATACCGAATTTAGGGTACCTCCCCCCCCCCCCCCCCATTCTCGGGGTCAAAATTTTTGTTGATATAATTCGAATCTACACTGACTAAAGAATGTCTCTACAAAATTTCAAGTGAAAATCTCAAGAACTCTTGAAGATATAGCCGATTTATTGTGTCAGCATCAAGTGACGGCTGAAGGGCTTCTCAAACTTTAAGGGGACCCCCCCATTCTCGGGGTCAAAATTTTTGTTGATATAATTCGAGTCTCAAGAACTCTTGAAGATATAACCGATTTATTATGTTAGCATCAAGTGACGGCTGAAGAGCTTCTCAAACTTTAAACGCGTTTTTCTCTAAACATTTTTTTTGCGAATGGTGGGCACGATAACTCAAAAACTAATAATCCAATCGGTTCAAAATTTTGCAACGTTTCTCTGGGAGTGTATAGCTCTCGTATGAACTAGGATAAAACCAATCGGTTAAGATCTTCCTTATTTTTTAACTTGGTTTTTGGTAAAAAATCGGCGATTTTCCAAAAATATGTTTTCAAAGGTCCACCATTTTCCCTTAAAGGCAATTACCACTTTCCAAGCACTTTAGGATAATGATGTTTAAAAGCGCACAATAATGGAACAAATTGTTTTGAACTTATAAATACAACACATATCCCATTTGATATCTGGGCCACTGACCGAAACTTGATCGTGTCCTTAATAGGAAACAACACCAGGAATACTTTCGAGAAAAGACATATGTGTCTATGTTTTAGTAAAAACGAAAACGTCAATCAAAGTATTCAATACAGTTCAATGATGTTAGTAATTCGCTATATACGATTACAAATACGCCAACAAAATACGAAGGTATTATTGAACATTTTCTTATATTCAGGAGGAAGAATACATTTAAATTCGAATCCTACATGGAGGCAATTCCGCATTACATGCGGTTTGTGTCTAACTTATATGTGCCTTTATGGTTCCTCAAATAAATTTTTAAAGATGTGAATAATGTATGGATGGTATATTGACTGTACCGATTTCACTCACGTTTTCCTTGCATTGGGAAAGTTTTTACGAAGAAAATTTTGAGAAAAACATCAAAAAGTCGGGAAATTGGAATAATCGAACGTTGTGTTAGTTACATCGTTTACAACTCAAGAACATCTGCACCGATTTTGACGATGAATCGTATGTGGTCAGAACTGGAAAATATGCAAACTAATTGTGAGATTCCGCCAAAACAAATATATTAAATAATATTTACAATTCCAAAATTTTTGTATTCAGCTTTAATGTTTTAATAAACTGATGTTTTTTAAGACAAATGGTTAGTTAGATCAAAACTTCTAATTTCATAAAAAATGTGTTTCATAAAATTGTGTGTGTCTAACATTTTTCGAGTTATATACTGATTTCAATATAAAAATCAAAAGGACAGTTGGATATGAATAGGCAAAACAACGTTTGCCGGGTCAGCTAGTATGATATAATTTATAAAGTAATATGTTTTGTAAACATTTCTATAAAACCGAGATTTGTATCAGAACCTAGAATGGACTTGAGTTACTTTCAAAATCAATGACTCATATGTGGGAATTGTTTTCTAATTTTTATAATTTAACATTATTTTAAAATAACCTGTATAAAAACTAAGTTTTTAGAAAATGCTAGAAAAAAAGTAAAAATAGATAGATAGATATATACGCTGCGTATCATAACTATAGACGCACCCCTAATTCAATTGGTATGTTAGTAGACAAATAAAATTTACCCATTAAGTTATTGTTCGCAATAAAACGATCAAAAACACATATTATTCAACAAAAATAATTAATTTATTCTTTATCAAGATTCCACACATGTTCTCGATCGGATTCTGGTCGGAAATTTTAATATTTTTTTTAATTTTAACCATACTTGAGTACGGCGACTTTTATGAACTGGCGCGTTGTCCTGCTGAAAAACGAGTCCTTGATTGTTGCTGCTTTCCCAAAATTGCAATAATTTGTCTTCCAAGACTAGAACGTATCCCACTGAATTCATACGACAACATGGAAATGTCAAATAAAACATTCCGTGGCTATAAAATGCTCCCAAGGTGGCGGTTACCGAAATATCGTTATTTCTTAATACGATATTTCGGTGGCGGTTCCTTATTGGCCTTGGTAGCATTTTATAGCCACGGAATGTTTTATTTGACGTTTCCATGTTGTCGGATGAATTCAATGGAGTACGTTCAAGTCTTGGAAGACAAATTATTGCAATTTTGGGAAAGCAGCAACAATCAAGGACTCGTTTTTCAGCAGGACAACGCGCCAGTTCATAAAAGTCGCCGTACTCAAGTATGGTTAAAATTAAAAAAAATATTAAAATTTCCGACCAGAATCCGATCGAGAACATGTGTGGAATCTTGACTCATCGTGTCTATGCAGAAAACCTCCAATACCAAACTGTTTTTTACCTCCAAGAAGTGATTTTCGATGAATGGCGCTCAATCGATGAAGACTTGCGAATAATTTTGATTAACAGTGTGATGGATAACATTTTTGAACTTATTCAAAATAAGGGAGGCCCTACCCATTATTTATAAAAGTTATTTTATTTTATTTAAGTTTTAACAAATAAATTTTTCTAATTTTGTAAAAGTGCGTCTATAGTTATGCAACACCAGCAATTTTGAAAAGTGCAGAATTCGGCGAAACCATAAAAAATAAATTAATTATTTTTGTTGAATAATATGTGTTTTTGATCGTTTTATTGTAACAATAACTTAATGGGTAAATTTTATTTGTCAACTAACATACCAATTGAATTAAAGGTGCGTCTATAGTTATGATACGCAGTGTATACCCTCATCCTCATGGGTTGCGGACTATGTTGACCATCTAGACCTGGTAAAGATAACAGGTTTGGAAAGCTTGGTGCAAATCGGACATTCAATTCGCCTGATATTGGATTTATAAATATTGATTTATTAATATTTGTGGGGGAGGTACCAGAGGGAGTGACCGATATTCCCCATCTTCGAACACGGACATGTGTAAATCGACTCCAAATTTTCTGAAACGAAGAAACATGGGGTCTAAAACCAATATTTATTAATATACCCTCATTAGCCATAAGGCTGAGGGTATAAACATGTCTAAAATATATAAGAGGAACGCACTCCCTCTCAATCGGTGCATCCCTGATCTAGATATCGAAATTTAGGTTGTGTGTTTATGTCCATTTTATGCAGAATTGATTCTTGAGAATGTGTGTACTCTGGAATTAGGTTATGCATAACGATGGCGATTGCAATATTCAAATATTTATCATCCATTTTGTTTTTCGATGGTCTCATTTTGAAATGTTTGCTATCTTTTTAAATCCATTATTTATGAAAATTGTGCATATTCACCACCACAACATTAACGACAACCAGAATTCTGACCTATTCTCGAATTGAGTTTAGTCAGGTAGACAGAATTTATTGGATTTCTGTACACACCTAACGGAATATGTGGGCCTGTGTGTCACTAGTCTGTTTATTTTTTTGTTTTTGAACGGCTAGGTCTAAATGTTTGCCCTCGTTTTGGCCACTGCACAAACAGGCTTCAACATGAATTGGGCCAATCAGTTTGAAGTAGTGCTGATTTAAGCTGTGCTTAATGTAGAGCATTTTAATGCTGACACACCGCAGTGGATATGAAATAAAACAACCACCACCAAAGCAAAGCTCCAATTCCATGTCGTGTTTTTGTTGTAGTTGTTGTTATTTGTTTTTCTTCATTTATTGGACTGAGTGATTGCGGTTTCTTTGGCTTAATTTCGACATTATAAATGGCATGACGTTGACTTATACGACTATAATTAAAACAAGCGACGCTGATATAACATGTTCGAACTTGATTGAGTTCAAGTTGGAGATGATGATCCGCTATTTCATTGATTTGACATCTTCAAAATATAAAAAAAAAATATGACACGGCCTATGCATCGCTACTTGTGGGTCTTGTCGTCTGGACTGTCCTACGAAGACGCGATTTCAATAGCTCACGACGAAGACAATTACTCTCGGCTTGGGCCATTTGCACCAACTGAAATGAAAAAGCTCGATTAATTGCTAAACATATTGTGTGATCATGGGTTACATACACTCTCAGTAAGTGCGGCTCTTTCCATGGTCTCAGGATCCATGTCGCCAGCAAATGATTCGGCCAGGGATGAAGCTATGGATGCTGTTTCAAATCGGCCAGTATTGTCTAAATCACAGTATCTTGGTGGAGCTTCCGAGTCTACTGAATCTTGATGTTCATCGGGATAGAGGTTTGGGGTTGTCCTAAGTTTAAGCTTTGCTTTCTTGTAGGCATTTAACTCCTCCTTTAGGCGTTGATTTTCCATTTCGAGAATATCAATCTGAAAAAAAACCCACCTCATTAAAATCATTTAAACCCTTTGGCTCTCGAATTTTGATCTACTTTAATCGGGATTCAATAGATTTATATAACAAATCAATCTTAAACACTCACATATCAAACCAACAAAGTATTTTTGATTTTAGCGGTTTTGATTATAAGCTGCAAAAAAAATGTTTTTGCTTCTGGATAATATTGGGGCAAGAGGGTTAAGAGTAATTCGTTAGCAATAGATTACCGTATATTGTTAAAATTATAAAAACCAAAAATTGTAAAAAAAGAATTGCATGAGGCTTCAAAGGAAAAGGTGTTCAAAGGTACCTCCTCTCCCCTATATATTGTATCCGATCGCTTTGAAATTTGGTATGGTAGATCCTGTTCAATTTGGAATCACTTTCGGAAAAATTTGTCTAGATCGGTTCATATATATACGTCGGAATAGAAATCACTTCAGTAGGCAAAATAAATTTACAAATTTATCAGAAATTGCAAAAACTACTATAAAAAGTAGGTACTTTCTTAAAATTTGCAAAAAATCAAACTTACAACATTTGCGTTTTTCTTTTGTTGTCCAACCAATACTTAAAATTTTGAAGTGTCTCGATAGCCGTAAGTAATTTTCTATCAGTATTTAGATCCAAGTGGATTCAAATTTTTTGTACACATGTAGTACCCAATATTACCTTCCACCACATATACGGTGGTGATAAAAACATTTGCATCTGATATTTACTATGTAATAATCTCCCTATTTGAAGTCAAAAACTAGGTTAACTTGGTATTTTTTTTTTCAACGCTTTAAGTTCAATTGAAACTGTAATTGTGAATTTTCCCAGAAATTTTTGGTATTTTGCTGTAAAATTTATTGATAAAATGGATAAATCGATAATAGCTGGGTCAAAACATATGCAACTCTGGCGAATTTAAAATATATAACGTTATTATAGGTGTCATAGTTCGCATTTATTCGTAAAGTTTAAGTATTCTTGAGTGTTAAGAGGTAATTTTAGTAAATATTCAATAAAAAATTAATTATACGGTCACAAAACACCAAATAGAAATGACATGTGATAATTTCGGATGGGGTTGGTTAATAAAACGCATTATGGACAGGACGGTTTTATTGTAATCAGGTCTGTATCATTCAGCCCTCAAAGATTGGCAGGAAGGGGGATAACGTTATATAGAAGCTATACCAAACTTGGACTACATTTTCGATATTTCGAAGGTCTCATCAGATTTTTTTTTACAAAGTAGCTGCAATTTTGTTTTTTCAACCGCTATTATTAAAAAATTAGAGAAATAACGATCCGCAGAAAAATACTTTTATTTCTTAAAAACGTCCATCTCAACTGGAGTTTCCCAAAATGGAGTAATGGAGGAGGTAACATGATGGACTTGGGTTTTTTCTAGGGGCAAACGATTGTTTGATTTATGGATCGTTTCCTATAGCGTGATATATGCTGAGGAACAGATGTCTCTTAGATTGGCATTCTCTTGAGATAAGGACCCAAAGATACACTAAAAGTGGTTAAGGAGTGGTTTCTTCAAAAATTCGATTGATGTCATCCCTTGACCTACCCAATTCTCTGTACTTAACCCAATCCAGAAATTGTATGAGATCATTAACTCAGAAATCAGCCGAGAAAACAAATATTGTTTTAGCACCTGTTTACCAATGGAAAACCATGGTGGTTGAAGAGGGATTGAAAACATCTAAATAAGATCCATATAAAAATGATTAAAAAACTTTAACCCATTCGAAACCTATAACGAATTATTATGACTGTTTTAGATAGATTGTCATTTAAACTTTGATTTTAATATATTCTTTAAATGTAAAGGTACAAATGTACCATAGCCTCCATATAAAAAGGTACCATACGATTATTTTATTCTTACAATAATAATAATTATAACAAGGTAGGGTATAGCTACCAAATAATAACATTTTTCTCAAGCCGGCTTGTTCTATACAACTTACTTACTTGTCTGGCTTGAGACATAACATTTGTTCCATAAGCCGAGCTAAACCAAAAACGATTTTCAAGTACTTCGGTCTTGTGCACAAAAACAAGTTGTTGTTAGGCCCGTACCTAAATTCAGCGCGTTGCGTACTAAAATACCCACCTTCTTACCTTTATAAGGTTTGTTGAACATCCGTATTACCCGAATACGCAAGGACATTATTTACTTGTGTATTGAAAACAATTGAAAACGGCGAAAATGGATAAAAAACATTTTCTTAATCAACCGAAAAATGTTTACATTTATAAAAAAAATTGTATTTTCACAACGTTACCTAAATTCGAACGAAGCGTACAAAAATATTCAACTTCCCCACTATGGCAAAATGTTGTGTACGGCCATATTGCCCAAATACGTCGAATCCATTTCTCATAGCGAACTAAACCAAATCGCGAAACAAAATTAAGAAATTATAAAATGTGTTCAAATATTTCATATTATTATTGAAAATAATTATATTTCTTTATGTTTATTTCTATTTTCAACAAATGAAAAAAAAAAACAAAACTACGTTCGGTCATAGTTGATTTTTTTTCAATTTTGAAAATTGGTACTTTGACGTATTTCGGTAACATTCATATATATACATGTGTTCTAGCAGACCCGGGAAACGTTGATTTGCCGTATCAAAATTGCATCAATTTAGGTTTAGTAAAAATTAACAAATTCATGGAATATATATTTCAGAAGCTATTTAACATTAAATTTATGGCAAATTTCTGATATAAAAAATATGCATAATATCCCAGTTTGTTGTTTTTATAAAAAACAACTATTTATTAGTTTTTTTACAAAAACAAAATACAAATGGTATCCCAAATAACCCGCCAACACTACTGAATATGCATAATATTTTAAGAAATATTGTTATTGTAAAATATTAAATTATGTCAGTATGTGTGGTATTTCAGTTTATCAATTTGTCGAACTTATTCCACCAAACATCTTTCAGGAGAAGTTCAAGTTTTGATCTAACTACTCTTACCTCAAGAGATAATTTAGTATGGATGGCGTAATTACTATTCCTATTTTAATCACATACTATCACAACATTCAAAATTTTCTTTGCTAAAACTCTTTCCACTGCAATTAATAACAACCGTAGGAAAATGTGAGTCAAATTGGTGCAGTCGTTCTCAATGGAAACATTTTTCACATTTTCATATTAGAGGAACAATAAAGGCACATATAAGTTAGGCACCTAGAGTATCTAATTTTCCCCATGTAGGATTCGAATTTATGTATATAGTCTTGATTTAGATTAGACGAGTTTACTTGCGGCAATTCTTGTCGTTCTCTTTTGAACTTGCTTCATGCGTTTATACAAGGCAATTCGGTTTCCAAAATATTTTTATATTTGTTGTTTTTTCACATTTAAATCTATATAAAATGTCAACAAATACGAAATACACAAAACGAATTGCCAGAAAATTGTCGGTACGAGCAATTTTTTTTTCATTTCTATTCCCCTTGCCCCTCTCTCCTACAAAGACTTGCCGCAAGTAAACTTGCCTAATCTAAATCAAGACATACTTCCCGAATAAAAGAAATTTTTCAGTAATACCTTCCATAGGTAGCTGAATTGTTGAGGTATTTGTAATCTTTTGTAGCAGTTATTGAACGTTTTAAATGGACATTTTGGTATATCCTAAACATAACAAATATACAAATATAGCTGGTTTCGATTCCTAATTAGAAAACGCTCAAGTTTCAGCCAATGATTCAGATATCGTTTGGGGTATATGCCATGTGTTGGTTCTATAACATAGAAAAATTGGCTCGCCATTATTGTGCGTTTCTAAGCCTCCTTATCTTTGGTCAATATTTTGCATAGTGTAATTTTAGGTACTTTGAAAGTTGTAACATATACCCTATTCGGTATTTAATGTAGGATAAGGAACTTCTCTGTAAATTGTCGGTATAGTATCACTTCAAAATATGTTTTTCAAGATTTTTGCGTATTTTTCTCAACATTTTCTTTTATAAAAACCTTTTCACACCAATTACACATAACTGAAATAAATTTTTAGTATTTTTCTGTAAATTGTCGGTATAGTATCACTTTATGGTATATGGCAAATCGGTCCAGCCGTTCCTTAAAAATGTATTTTTCAAGATTTTTGGGTATTTTTCTCAAAATGTTCTTTCATAAAATCCTTCCCACTTCAATTAAAGATAACTGAAAGAAATTCGTAGTCAAATCGGTCCCTCCGTTCTTAAATTGATGAGTTACTATAAGCTTTTTACATAATTTTTATAAGTAGATTTAAATTAACTTTACTTCAATTAGTAAGTTATTATTTTTAGTTTGACTCCCACGCGCTATTCACGAAAATAGTTTATGTATGAATTGGTGTCGGAATACTTAACGTCGATTAAGCACGCAATCTCTAATCGGGCAAAACGCAAAGAAAATATATGGAGCGCCATCCGTCGGACGAACTTCAAACTACACAGAAACACTCCTCACGCCCCATAGAGCCTGTACATAAAATTTTGTCAAAATGAGTGCAGTAGTATTTGAGTTTAGTCATAAATCCCCGCCAAATACCACAAATTTAAGGAAATTGTGATATTCCAAAGTTCCCACAAAAACGTACATAAGAAAATGTTTCACCAATACAAGAAAACAATTTGTTGTATAAAATACATTCACATAAGAAAATCCCGCTTATTAGAACAAATTTATCGACTTTTTTATGTTGTTACTAGCATATGCCCGCTACGTCGTTAGCGGGTCTTTCCAAAAAAACTTATATTTTATAGTTAAAATAAACATTGATTTAGCTACACAATATAACTTTATACAGATTTATGCATTTCTAAGTATGTACTTACAATGATCCATATCACATTTTAAACTTGTTTAATAATCTCCACACTTTTGGATAGCTCCTATGCCTTAATTTAAAAAAAAAAATCTTAGATCTTAGTCTTCGAACATAGGCTTAATTAGCGTTGGTGCTCGAATTTTACTATATAGAGAAAACTTTACTCATTTTCATATATTTCTCAAATTCAACGGTATTAATGTTCAACATTTCTCATCACACCATAATATTCGCGTAAGTGGGGTTGGAAACATCATTAGAAATAAATGTCAGTACTGTTATGGTAGAAATCTTAGAAATATTTGCGTTTAAAAGTGTCAACAATTTAGTACTTGCGTTGTTCAGTGCCTTGTTTCACTTATTTGTAAAATTCTAAAATCATTCGCAGTACTATAAGTCTATGGATTGGAAACTATATTTCATGTAACTGTCAACGTTTTTAGATCAGATTTTGGATTATACAAACAAAATGTCAGCACTTTATCTCTACCCGTTCTGTCGTACACAATATTTAGAACCCTAAGTACTAAACTGCGAAAACATTGTTTGTAATACAAAAAGACTTGTACCAAATTCTATCTCCACCCGTACCGCCGTATACAATGTGTTGTACTTTTAAAAATTATTGCTGGAAAGCAGTTATGTATAAATGTTTGTCGTTATAGTTCCAGATAAGTATTTAATAACAGGTTCATATCTTTATCCGTTCTACCGTACCCAATATTTAGTACTTGTTGGTACCTTTAAGTGCAATTTACCAACTTCTTGGTGTATTAGGCAATGCTAATTTCTATCCTTATAAACTTGTTGATGGCGCTGGGAATAATTATATTTGTATTTTAGAAGCCACATACACGAATTCCAAACTCTACCGCTTCTAATCGCTCAATACAAATTTTGTAGTTTCCAGGCATTTTGGAACCCTTTTAATAAAAAAACTATACTATTATGTTTGCGTACTAACTTTTCCCACTTTTAGTACAAATATTTAGTATATTTCTATTTAGTACTTATTTCCAATAATATATATTTCAATTTTTAATCTACACCGTTTCAGTTGTCATTTAATATTTAGTACCATTTCAGATATCGGCTCCATTGTATTTTTTATTTAGTACTTTTTATCAACACTTTAGTACTTTGTAATAGTAAAAGCTGCATACAAAGTTCCTGATTTCTATCTCTGTCGGTTCTATTGTAATTCAATATTCATAATTTTTTAGTACATTTTAGTACTAATTTCCAACAAAATATTTTTGACCATCGTTCTATTTGTAATAGATTAAGTTACATACCATATTTCAGTACTTTTTAGTACCTTAAGTACTAATTTCCAAAATTTGTTCACACATCGCCCTTCGCTTATAATTGACAAAGCTGCATACCAAATTTCAAAGTTTTACTTCCTAACGTTCCGGTGTAATATAGTTTTAGTACTTTTTAGTACTATTAAGTACTAATTTCCAAAAAAATGTTCGCACCTAATTCTATTTGTAATAGCTTAAGCTCCACACTATGTTTCAGATATGAATCTTCACCGATTTCATTCAGATGTAATGTTTAGTACTTATTAGTACTAAATTTCAAAAATTTTTCCAACGCACCACTTGGCTTATCATAGGCAAAGCTACATACCAAATTTCAGAGTTCTACTTCCAACCATTCCGAAGTAATACAGTTTTAGTACTTTTTAGTACCTTTAAGTACTAATTTCCAAAAAAATTGTTTGCACATCATTCTATTTGTAATAGCTTAAGCTACATACCATGTTTCAGATATCTATCCCCACCGGTTCCAATGAAATATAATATTTAGTACTTTTTAGTACCTTCTAGTACTAAATTCCAAATTTTTTTTCACACATTCCTGTTTGCTCGTCTTATACAAAGCTACGTACCAAATTTCAAAGTTCTACATCTAACCCTTCCCGCGTAATACAGTTTTTAGTACTTTTTAGTACCTTTTAGTACGAATTTCCAAAAATCCCGCCTTATCACACGCCTACGCACCAAACCGGACCTACATGCCAAATTTCAAGTTTCTAGCTTTAGCCGTTTCGTCTGGGCGTTGATGATCAGTCAGTCACTTATAACGCAACTCTTTTATATATATAGATATTCGTGGTCTAATGTATTTTGATAACACAGTACTCAACAACAAATACAGAAATAACATTTTGTTAAAATCGTCTATTATTACAACAAAACATAGCGTTGTCATCCGTACGAATACGGAATATGTTAGCAATAAAATGCAAACACTGCCATCTAGCTTTTAATTCACAAAACAGGAAGTCACAGTTTTTTGTGTCGGTTTTGTCCTTCATCCACAAAGCTACATTTTTTTGTACTATGAATTATTAATGAATTTGTAAGTTTATCGTGGGTGTAAGAATTCGAATTTCGCATACTGTATGTGTATTTAAAATATACTCGTATTCAATCCCGGCCTAGTATTGACCTACCTTATTACCCAGTTCAATTGTCATCCCAATACTTACACTTTCTAATTCAAAATCTAGTTCATCGATTATATCCCGAGCCTCAGCTAATTCATCTTGCAACTTTGTGACTTGATCCTGTAAGTGGGCTATAGTCGAATTATCTTTCTTCGTAGAATGTCGCTTTTCCAACGCAATACATTGTTCTAAAAAAAATATAGCTAAAATTTTGGAAATCTCAATCACTGCAATGCAAACAAGAGACAAACCTTTGTCCCTCTGGGCTATTGCCGACTTCATAACCAGACCGTTCAGGGTTTTCTGACGATTGAACACATCTTCGAGGGCCTTGCAGCGTTGCACTTTGGCCACAAATGCTGTATGCAACTGGTTGTACTTGCGCTTCAATTTCTCGAGTTGTTCATACATGTTGTCGCGTTCGTTTTCCAACTGGAATGCCTTCAGTCGCGTTTCTACGTGCATGGTGGATTGTGATCTTTCGTCGTGGGTCAAACGATGGATATCTTGTCGCAGTTGAGCATTCTCTTCAACCAAAAGTGCCCGTTCACTCTCTAATTGTAAGGTCTTCACTTTAAGTTCTGCATTAAGGGTCGACTTTGATCGGTCCTCATCGGCTAATTTTTGAAGTTCTCGACGTAATTGTGCATTTTCTTCAACCAGACGTTCATTTTGGGCATTAACTAAACACAAAGAACATGCAATATTTAACTTGGGCCGAATCAAATCCACACAATAATTACCTGCATTTAGTTCGGCTTGTAAAAAATTGACCTCCGACGACCTTTCCATTTGAATAGATTTTAATTGTCAGCCCTTTTCTGGATTTCGGTGAATTTAGTTTTTCGCTTTAAGGTTAAGAAACAAATGAAAACCAAATACTTCTTAACAATAAATAAAAACAATCGCCAACAATTTAGTCATTTACTCAAGTATAGATATCAACAGCTCAATGACAAAGTAGCCTAAATAATAAAACCAATATGAATTGTACGAAACTGACTAATCAACCAACGATTTGTTACCCAGAATGTGTTAGTTAGACCCATTTGAAATGATAGCAGCAACTCAAATATCAATATCAACTGGTGATAAGACGTGTGTGTTTGTTTGTTTATTGATTCGTTTCGTACATACATACGAGTACACCCATGCTTTTAGTGCAACAATTTTTTCAACGGATTTTTATAATCACAAATTGTGTTGAAGCCAAAAGCTTTCGAAAGCTTCTCTATTGATTAAGTGGATTTCCCAACCATTCAGAGAACAGTATTCGCCAAAATTATTTAATACCACAAAGTATAAGAAGTGCAGATAATTTTCTCAGACGATCCGAGACGCATTTGCTATCAAATTACGATAAAGGTTGACTTGTAAAATATATTCAGATTTGAAGATATCTTCCATATTTGGTTGAAATGTGTATTATGTACGAGTGAATAGGTCCAAGTACAAAAGAAATCGGTTAAAATGTCTGTTAAGACGCATTTGGACTTAAATATATTTTTGAATTATGTGCACGTTAACGCGATATAAAACCAGTAAGGAAAGTAGTAAAGTCGGACTGTATCCGAAAAGACGTCGCCTTTTTGAGGGAATTTTGACATGAAAGTGAACGAACTTAAATATGTGATTTTTATAGAGTCGTTTGCGCACAGTGGGACAGATTTGTGTAAATCGATTTAAAGCAAACTTGACTCACGCTATTCGGTATGCTGCACTGTTTAAAATTTAATATCAATAAATAAGTCGAAATTATATATGGATGCTACGAGATATCTATATCTGAACCGATTTGAAGCAAACTTGCCAGAGATTAATTTATACTAATTTCAATACGTTGTGTCAATCGGCCTAGCTGTGGATCTTTAGTGCACCATTTACCTAAAATCGGGCGAAATCTATATCTAAATCTGAACCGATTTTCACGAAGTTTAGCACACATCGTTCTCGTAGGGACTTTGGTACCCCATTTACCTTAAATCGGACGAAACTATATATGGGAGCTTAAGTTATTAAAACAAAATACATACTGACATTTGTGGGGAAGATATCACCTACGTTTGGCAATGTGCAAACGGATACTTCTTTTACTTCATATCAGGTTAACAAATTCTCAATATGTTAGCCCTAAGAATATCAGAAGTATAAATAAAAACAACTCTTAAGGGCCCCCGAATATTTTCGTGGTTGCCCGATGAATGACGAATATGAGAGCCCACAAACATTTAGATAAAAGTATCATTCAAGAGTGATAGTGTATAACAGTTTTTCAAATACATTTGGAATCGGATGCTCCAGTGATCGAAAATCATGCTCGTCGTCGAAAAGAACGTCTTTTCGTTAATTACAAAAAACAACAACTAAATTATATCAATTAATTTTCTTATCCTTTAAGACTTCAAGTATTTATATACAAAGTTACAATTCTTCAATGTAATGCACGTCCATTTGCCTGCCGGTTGAAAATGTTAAAAATTTTAAACTTTGAATGAATGATTTTGTGTTCAAAATGTCATGAATAGGTTTGTTGTTTAACATGTCATAATTACAGAAGGTAGTCTCATTTGAGAAATTAATAATGGCAACCCTTTTTAATTTGAAACTCATCTATCAATTTCAAATTGTTTTGAAAAATAAATTCCATAAAATTTTATGCATTTCGAATGGCATGTTTTTAAAACAATTAAAAATGTATACTTTCTGCAAATATATATCTACATTTTTTATTAATATTGCTCTTAAGATATAACTATAGATGTTACAAAATATATTTATAGATTATAAAGGCTGGAAACTTCAAGATAATAAATATTTTGTAATTATTGCGTACATTTCCAAGGAGGATATTTTCATTTAAATTTTGAAAGTTGAATGTTGACAAATTATGAAAAAAATTGAAATCATATGTCTGCTTGAGACTACCTTGTGTAATTATAGGTGTGTCTAGTTACTTTTCCAATAACATTTACTCCAAAGGTATATTAACCAGGTAACCGTATCGAGCCAGGTGATGGTAACATTATCTGTCACAATAATTTGTTGATGTTTGAATTCGCCATAACGATAGAAAAACAATTTCATATACAAAAATTAGAGACGTTGGAAATAAAGAAGATAATTTTTTAACTAAATACAAATCATAAAGTACTCGAAAAGAAGGCCGCGTTGCCTTCCACAATGAAAGTCCTGCTGTATTTAAAGACCGTGTTGCCTTCTACAATGAAAGTCCTGCTGTATTTAATATGCTACAAGAACCACGTTTATGTTATATAGTACAGAGGAATGTTTGGTCCCTAAGTCAAAATTATGAATAACTTTCGGCACTCCATAAAAAGAATTTGTGGTTTTTGATTGAACTATTGGCGTTTTGATGTTATGAAGAGATATTTTTGTCTTTTATAGATATATTGGTTTATTATAATTATTGTTGTTGTTGTAACAACAACAAACCATATGTTTTTCCCTGTAGATGTGGTACATGATGCAATAATATGGTGATGTATCAAAACAAAAACATTTGTTTTTGTTTCGATTATCTGTCAAATTTTTGCGCATCGAATACAAGTAGAAATTATCCACTTTGACAGTTAATCGAGACATCAGCTGCGCTACCTGTTTATTGTGCCATGATGTGGTAGAAGTATTAATAAATTGTTCTAATTCGTTCATTACGAATTTATTCACCTCAAAAATTAAATACATGTATTTCAATGAATATTACCCAAATACGCATTGCGTATCAAAATATAAAGTTGAAAATTTTGAACATTGACAATGCGTATTTTGAATTTTTTGTTTTTTGAAAATAGGATTTCAGTTATTGAAAAATTTGCGTTTCTGTAAAAGTAAACATATTTCGATCAATAAAAAAATGTTTTCATCCATTTTCGCAGGTTTCAATCGACACAGATGCAGATAAAGTTCTTGCATATTTGGTACGACCCTTAGTGTGTGGAAAGTGTTCGGGATTTGTGGGGTGTGATGATGGTATATGGGTATTATGGTTTTGATGATATGTGGGTTATTGGAGTTATTGGGCTATGTGTGTGTATGTGTAGATGTTAGGGTATATATGGGAAATTACAAAATTCTTTTAAAATTCCATAAAAAGAATTTGAAAAAATTTTTTGCGAGCACCTTCATGATTTTTGGTACATAGGTTAAAGAAAATATCATGATTCAAAATCTGTTCGCGTTCACAAATTCGGATGCTGTTATAGCGGTTTTAATTCATGCATTTAAAATATAAATTATTTGTTGTAATTCGCGAATTTTTTCACAAATGGTTAAACACATTTGTTTCATATGCATACTTTTCAAACCACTTTAAAATACGGTTTAATAGTCGCGAACAACAAATAGAAGCATGAAGATATCTGAAAATAAAATAAATTCAGTGTGGCATTTGTTTGTAGGGATGTGTTTTGTTCAGTGGAGTGATACATGACTCCCTGGGACAATATCCCAAGCTAAAAACTAAGCGAACTGATGAGGATTAGTGGCGAAATCCGAAGCTATAGTCTTCTCTGCCTTTCCCGAAAGTAATCAATGTGACTATAACCCACTTTGAAAATAAAAATATTGTTGTTTTTATATTTTTTTTTAAAACAACAGAAAAGGGACTAAGCTAGCTTACCTAAAAAATGAAATTAATTTTTTAATTAAAACAAAACATTTTTTGAATTTTCGATTTTGTAGTATGGTTAAGGAAATACGGTTTGCCTTAATCTTCTAAAATATGTGACGCTTTTTTCTTCAAATTCTTTTAAATGATTGTTAAATATCGGTAGGTTCGTCTGATAAGAGTTTCGACGTTTTAAAAGACTAAATATATTGCACTTACAATACACAAAAATTATCAATATTAAAAAGCATGCAATTCGCGCATTCGTTGAAATCAGTTGTTGTGCATGCGATTTTCGTATAAAACGGATCAATCTCTTCCAATAATTATGAATTTTCCATGTTTCATTTAGCGGCGAAAGTGTGCCACTCAATGCACTATACTATGCAAAAACCCTAAAAATGGCTAAAAATAAAAAACGTGCATACGTTGCCTGTCAACAAAAAAACTTGTTGGCTTTTAAACATTTGCACCCATTTTTTTACATACCACCATCACAGCTTCCACACAACTTATTATTTATTACCAATACTCCACTGGTCTAATCCAGGGCCACTTAAACTGGTTTAACCCAGGGCGCAAATCTGTGGGCCTGACTGGGCAAGAAAATAGGTGGTTTGTGTCATGAGGAGTAGTGAGACAGTTTGGGCACTGATCGCATTTACTAGAAATAATTCTTGGCTGGTAATTATTTAAGATTGTGCTCCAACCAGATCTAAGTTGAGATAGGGTTGTTCTAGTGGATCTGGGGATACACTAAGACTAAGGCGTGAAATCGCCACCCGTCAGACCTTATTTAATACGCCATGATCAAGTTTTTGTTTTTAAGGTTAACAGGGAGGCGAATTCGAAATCTTCATTGACTGTCAAATTTAAAGAATAAAACAAAAAATATTTTTATTTGAACCAAAATATATGTGCACATTACTATCATTACCTTTTCCTGAAAGATGTTTTGAGTTTTTGTCCTGTTCTGGTTTGTATTTCGCGATTAAAATGTTGACAGCAAGAGAAGACTAAGGCATGAATTCGCCTGCCGGTTAACCTTATTAATAAACCTTGAACGTCGTTAAGTACGGATAGGCCTAATTTATATTCCCGCCACCATGAATTGGACATTCCAAATGCTTGAAATCTATCGGGGCTTTTAGGAGAAAACGAAATC